GGAGATCCAACAGCTCAGAGGAAAGAGAGGGAGCTCTAAGGCATCAGAACCAGGCTTTGCATTCTGTTCTATCTGCTGATAAGTACTGTACCTATAATAATTAAAAAGCATGAACAACAGAAAAGGTGACCATAGTGGTTTTCGAACAGCACTTGTAACTTACATGCTCAACTAAGCTTTTCAGCAAAAACTAAAAACAAAAAGACAGCCATTATTCCTCTGATGAAGTGGAGAAAATACATTTTTCACAAAAGGCGTAATGAAGGACTACACTTCCAACTTTAAAGATCCAGTCCCTGTAAAGGAATGCTACAGTACTCATCTCAATTTATAAGGCAGGAGTACTGTATCTGAGCCCATTATTATAAAGCACTGTTGTATAGAATAAGTCCTCCACATAGCTTTAGTGGTGCTGAATTAGCTAAAAGGCCACCTGATCCTGATTTTGCAATCATTTTTTGTTTATCCAGAGAGTATTGAAAATGCTTTAATGATTGTAGCTATAAGTTACATAATACCTATGTTTTATATAATTATACAGACTAAAGTTAACTTTTTTTAGTCTTTCATCATCACGCTTTCTTCTGCAATTTGTGACAGCCCATTATACCTCTCTGCAATATCACAGCTGGGTAATCCATTCCTTTTTCTGTGTTAAATTTGTTGGTAATTAATCTGTTCCACATTTTCTATTTAATTCCATCTAGATTTATAGAATCATATTTTTAAACCTTATCAATGCTGAATGTGAACCCCCATCACTGAAAACTTCTGCAACTGACAGACAAGATAACCACAAAATGAAATTACTTAAAGCTCTGTGTAATATTTAAAGAAACCATAAAGCACAACTTATCAGAACGTAAACCACTTGTTGCTCCGGAACACCACACATTTGTGGTATCCAAAGGTCAGGAATCAACATCTCGTTTCTTTTCTACAAGCTGCATACTAAAAGAATACTGAACAACTTAAAAGATGGCAAAGCTGTGCTTATTTATATAAAGGACCCTGTGAGTACACAGGTACAGTCATCTACACCACTGATGTCACATTTAAAAAAACTTGAGACTTAATGCAGCAAACAACCATTCTGCTTTGATCTATATACATACATCCAGACTTTATAAAGCCACACTTCTCACGACAACATTCCTGTATTTCAAATTGCATTTCTCCTTCATGGCTTTTTGTTCAGCTTCAGTTTGAGCACTGACCGACCAACAGACACTGGCCTGGGTTTTCAAGAATGGCAAAGAAAAAAATGGTTGGTTTCACAGCACTGCTACTGAGCTCCTCAAAAACAGGGACAAGAAGGGTGACAACCAGCATAGCAACTGCTAACAGCAGAGCCAGTATTGGGGGATTAGGAACAGGAAGTGGGAAGAATGCCCCAATGTGTGCTTTTAAAAAAACAAGGGCAAATGGCTAAAGCGGCAGTAAAGCCAATTACTGTTAATTACTAAAAATGACACCCAGAATGCTCCTCAAGAGACAAGGACTTTCAGACCACAGTCCACACACTGTTACAAAACCTACTATTGCACATTCACAGATTCTGATGCTGGGTACAGAATCAGACCCCAGCAATTTCATGTGCAGAATGAGAGTATCACACAATTCCCTTAGAAACTATTTCTTTAGTTTGAGACTTAATTACACAATATAATTTTTTGAATGTTTTAATGTTCAAATACTTGACTGTAATAGTCTGTGTAGGACCCAGAAAAACAATAGTAAAATGTCTGAGGAAAAGGCATTAACTAACAAGGTTAGAATTTATAAATTTTTTAAATTATCTTCCACATTTCAAAACCAAAATACCTGAAAAGCACTAAAAAAGTAAAAAATATTTTAAAATCATGGTGATCCTTTTTTTCCTGGCACAAGTTCCAATTTAAGGACTTTAGCACTAATTTAGTAAAAGCAAGAGAACGCCTCACAAATTATCAAAGACTGATGCAGAGGGAAACGTGGCCTTAACACAGCCATATTGCTGCTAAAATGGTCAAGAACTGCATTTGCCTTGAATGGAATTAGCATTGCATCATTGGTAAAATGCACAAATGACACCAAAATCGGCACAAATTAAGGTTAAAGGCTTGGAATCAGCAAGCATTTCGAACAGTATGAATACGCTCCTGACTGGAAGGTCCCGAGTTCAATCCGAGGTAGAGTCAAGCACTGTAGCTTGCTTGAATATCTTCCAGACGGCTCCCAGGTCCACTCAGCCTGCTTTCCAAATGAGTACCGGGGGTTAATGCTTCCGGGGGTAATAGGCCAGCTGGGGGGTGGTGCTGGCCGCATCACCCCCACCTCCAGTGTCGGATGGTCGAGAAAAATGGTGGCCCTTGCCCTCCCATTCCCCATGGGCCTTTATTGCCTGAAAAGGGACCTACCTACGAAGTGTTCTATAGTACAGTACAGATTCGAACCCCTCATATAACTCCCACCTCCTCTCCCAACATGAAGAAGAGTACCACTGAGTAACCAAGAGCTGCAAAGAACTGCACAGTTTTAGAGATGATGAGATGATTGACTCCTGCTCAGAGCACCATCAGAGGTCACACTTGTGTTCTACCAGTGACAACCCTCTCCACTTCAGAGAGCCACGTCTTCTTCACAAGTTAACGTGCGCTGGCAGAAGAACTTCATAGGGCTTTATGCACCATTGCTGCTGCCTAGGAATGCTAAACAAATCTTGCATGTGCACTTGTGCAGCTCAGGGACTATGCCAGCCTTCCGCAATCATTTTTAGTGACTTGTTTTAATCTTCATACAATTCTAGTGCTACTTTCACATCCCCTCTGGACTGCTAAAGCAGCTGTTGAACAGCTCGATGCTCATGGTGATCCTCATTACATTTACCATATCATAAAACTGTGAGTGCTGAACAATTTGCATTGCTATTAGTCTGACACAGGGCACAATTTTTTTAACTGCGCCTATGCTGGCACCACTCCCCAAATGTGAAAAACTACTTTCTGTGCCTTACTAAACCTGCACTGTTCTTTATTGATCTGACCTAATCCCAGATTTCACTCCAATAGGCAGCACATTATATACAAGTCATGTTTGAACTGGAGGCCTTAACCTCCCCCACCACCTCCTATCATGTGTGGAACCTTTTGCACAGCACCTTTTTTTCCCCTGTTCTAAGGCACTGTAATGCAGGTCAGGACCATTACTCACAGCCATGGCAGCTCATACACTAATCACCGGGACACACCACGTAAATAATCAGGCACACGAATGACTAATTTGTAATAGAATAATTTTTAAACGGAAGCTCATGTAAAAGCAACAAATATTCCAGACTATAAAAAGCCATTAAAACTTTTTTGTTGGAATACCTGAAGCAGGCCTCACCCGAGCCCTTCAACTGTCTTGCTCTGTGTTTCTGCTCCCAGATACTCGGCTGTGTTATTTTTGTAACAGAGAACCCAGAGTAAGCTGCGGAATGCACAGCTGTCTGGCATGTGTTTAATGTTAGTCTTTATATTCCATTTCGTGAAAAAAGGAAACTTTCTGCACCCCTTCCCCACTTTCTAGAGGCTTTCAAACCAGACATTTCCACATTCAGCATTTCCATCTGTTTTCTGACCTCCCTCCATTCTGCTGCTCTCCCTTCAGCTCAAGAAAAACAGTCCCCCACCACTAAATTAAAAGCAGCTTTGCTCTCTGATCACCAAGCATGGACAGCTCCAACCAGACAGACACTCCGGCAAGCAAAGGCCTCCAAGACAAAATGCAGAACTGACATTTTGCCTAGAAAAATTCAAACTAATGGCAGGACTATCAAGCCGGGATTGTGAGTGCATATCTGGAAGCAAAGAAGAATGTTACCTGGTTTAAAGGCAAATGTCAATGTTCTCCCTCCAACTGAACAAGCCACTCATTTTTAGAATTGTTTTTCCAGTAACCCAGACTTCTGCTTCGTTATCCATTTGTTAAAATGTGAGGCTTTATTTGGGATACACGAATAGCACAGAAATCAAATGATTTTAATTCTAACTGCAAATTTACACATATTGAAAATGTGTTCATTCAGACATGATTTGACAAGAAACTACATCTAGTGTCATGTATTTAGAAATGTTACAGTAAACAGAACACATCTAATAAATAGCTTTAAACGGCAAATGGATTTCAGTTAAAGTACCTCCAAAACCAGACTGCTCAAAGAGAAACTAGCTACAGTGGCCCCTTTGATGTACTCACATTCACATAACGGGCATTTTAAGAAAAAGGTCAGCTGAGAAAAACAGAAAAACAGCTGAGACTACTTGCAAAACAGCTTCTGCAAACACTAAACCACCTAAAAATAAAAACACAGAACCGTAAACACTGATCATACACGATTTAACGGTATAAACCCCCAACAAAACAAGACCGAAGATAAAGGAGAGACGCTTTACAAACGATTGATAAAGTGCTGCTTGATGAGGACGGTGCATAAAAAGCACCATGACTGAGCAGGCAGAGAGAAACAGAGCTGGGCTATTCCACACGCTTTTCGCAACACACTCTGGGTGCCAGATGAAGAATCTAGGGAGGCTTAACCTTCTGTTTTATGTTAACAGTAATTGTCTTGATCCTTATCAGTAAAATGTTTTTCTTCACGGGACGAACTATTCGCAAACTGGAGAGGTAACTTCAGAACGGCGCTGCTCAGGCAGAGGGTTGAGCCCCTGCCGCTGTGTCCGATCAGAGCTGTGTCCACTCGCATGCGCATTCACACCGCACCTAGGATGTTTACAAGCAATCATGGCAAAATACAACAATCTTCCTGTTGCAGTTCGCTCATGTGTATCGTAATTAAACTGTCTGCGGTCAACATACCCCCAATCAGACACCTGTGGCCAGCTGTGCGGAGCACCGCCAGTCCAGTTTCCTCCAGGTGCCCCAGAAGGGCTCCCGAGTTGAAGGGCACTGCTCACAAGAACTGAACGCCCAACCCACACGCTCGGGCAGCTGTGCACCTGGATACAGATTATTACCTTGTAATAATAATCATGACGCGCACGTAAGACATTGCTCCCTCACGACTGAGGTTCTCCGGAATAATCCTGGGGTCCGATAAGCAGCTTCAATAACCACCATGTTGAAATACATCAGAGATGTTGGACGCTTCAGTCCAAGAAGTTGTCCAAAACTTTCACTGAGTTGTAACGCAGCTCGGCCCGGAAGGAGCCGGGACTGTGGGGTCTGGTGGGAACGCTTTGCGCCGCTTATTCAGACAGTCCGCTCTCCTCCATCTTTGGGCAGCCGCGCTCGCTGGGCCCCACAGGCCACGGGCAGCTGCTCCTCGGCTCCGGCCGGGCGCACGGCGCTCTCTCCCACCTCGGCGCTCACCGCACGCTGGAGAGGCAGCGCAGCGTGCGGCCGTCATCTTGAGGAGCCATACGCACACAGTTCAGGAGTCATTTCGGGCTGATACATCGCTGCGCTGGCGAGTTCCTTCGCTACGTACATCGTTTATTTCGTCCAGGTGTTTACACTAGCCAAAATTAAGTTTAAAAAAAAAATACAGCACCAAACAAAAACACAGTGGGGACTATTTATAGAAGCCTGATCCATATTGCGTATCACTAGGATACCGTGTTATTTCCAAACCCCATTACTGCCTCCGGAATGCGTTAAAATAAGAAGAATCATCTACAATTGAAGCCTTTTTTTCGTCAACAAGGACAAGCGGGAAGGCCAAAGTCGATTGCGGTTGGCCACAAAGCGCCCAGCCACTTTCTCAGAGGCGGCTGTAGCGAAGTCAGGTATTTCAAACCATCCTCCACCGTGGACCGCAGCCACAACCCGAGCCCTCTCGGAGCGGCCGGGGACACCTCAACTGACTCAGCAGCAGTCAACTTTCCCCCGCCGCCGAGCAGCCACGGCGAGACGCGGGAATCAAGCTCACCTACCTGAAGAGGCGAGCCCAGCTGCTGCGCGGAACCAGCTCCTTTCGGCGTCGAGTGAAACTTCGCGTCTCTGATAATCTCGCGGCGCGGCGGCACGCGTCTCCCGTGCTGTCTCGGGGTTCTCTGTCCCTCGGTAGCTACGCAGCCCTCCCCCTCGCGCCGCCCGTCTCTCCCGGCGACGCATTCCTGCGCGAGCTTGCTCCCGGCCCAGCCCTCCAATCACTGCGCTCCAGACCTCGCGCCGCGCAGGGAACGCCGCCACCTGGTGAGAGACCTGCACAGGTTCTCAGAGGAAGCGGAAGGAAAGGGTCGAATCTGCGGTATTACAAATTGTGATTCATACACAAACTCATCCTTTCACACAAACTGAAGTCACACAAAAACATCAGTGATGACAAGCCCATTTAAACTCGGGAGCGGCCAGAGGAGAGAGAATGGATTTTCTGCTTTGTCGTTTTCTATTTCATGTTGCAAATTAGACCTGTATGAAAAGAACGTTTCTGTGCATTTTACCTTTTTTTCTGCATGTTTTCTCTGATCTCAAAATGTTTTAATTACGTTACATAAGTATATATATATAATTGTCGATTTTTGAAGGGTTATTGTATACATTTTCAGTTGCTACAGATGGAGATCATACAAATATGCCTTAAAAACAATGTGACTAACTAGCCGATTCTCAGAGATGAGAATGACACTGTATCCGAAACACTCACAATGAGCGATTTTTCCTCCTGAAGATGTCCAATCATTACATTTCAGGCAGCACTCCTGTCTGACAGCAGTTCTGAAACTCAGACATGAGTACGTGACTAATACTTTTACAGATCCCAGCTGACCTAACAAGAGCTGAGAGCAAACCTCCAGGACCATCCTACAGAACCACTGGTTTATCCATCCCTCCATTTTCTAACATCTTTATCCCAGGGGTCCCAGGGGAGTCGGGGCCCATCCCAGAAAGCAATGGGCTCAAGACGGTATACACTGTGGACAGGACACCAGTCCATCACAGGGCACACTCACACTCACACTCACACTCACACTCGCCCCAGGACCAGTTTCTTACAGAAGCCAATTAAAGTGGAGGCTCATAGTCTGTCATGGAAAGTGTCACTGCCATCCTGTCCATCCTGTTCCTTATCCACAACTTCTACTCCAAACTTTATAACTCATATTTATAACTTATATACGGAAGTGAAAAACGAAGAAATTCAGTATTTTACCTCAAAGCTAGAAAACTTTTGAGCAAAGAAGATGGGAAATTGCTAGGAGACCTAAAGCATGCAATGGAAAACTTACAGGAGGGGAAAGCTAACGAATTTCATTGCACCTGTTTGGATCTGCTCAAACACTGGCTATGGCAACTGTATCAGTAAGCTTCAAGGTACACTAGGATTGTTGCCTGCCTCTCTAAGGGAAAGCACCATCTCTCTTGTGTAAGGAGAGAAAAATGACATTGAGAACTGGAGACCTCTCACTCTGTTAGGTTTGGACGCTAAGGTCCTGTCCAAGACCCCTTTCCTTTACCTACAAATGGCAGAGGCATCACTAATAGGGGAAAAACAGACTTATGGGATACCAGAACGCCTAATGAGTGACAACCTGGCCTTGTTGGGGGGATGTCTGTCTGTACTCAGAGGACCTTTCCCTCCCCTTGTGCATTTTAGGGATAGACCTGGAAAAGGCATTTGACTGCTTAAACAAACAGCACCTAAAAACTGTATTAGAACAAATGAACTTTGGCCCCATTTTTAGATCATGGTATAACCTGCTAGAAATAGATACTGTAGAAGATAGAAACAGTAGCATCCTAGTGCATGGTTAAGTATCTTTTAAAGTCTCTTTTTTTCTGCCTATTATCTCCTCTGATAAGTTTACTATCTATGGAGCCCATAGCCTGTACTTTACGTCAGGATAGAGCCGTTAAAGGATATCAGACTTGGACAACTAGTGGGGATGTAGAGTTCTTGTCTGGGAGCTAACTGTGGAAAAGGTGTCAACCATATTCCTAATCCAGTTTTTAAAACCACATACCCCAGGGCACCTTGTAGTATTAATTGTGTATGAGTGCATAGCCTTATATTACTGCATCTTAAATGAAAACTTCCCTGTAGTGTGTTCTCTGTATTACTGCCAATTAGAGCTAAAAGGTGAAAAGATTCTAACAGTGAACATTACAGAGACACTCCAATGACTGCTGGCTTTGTTATTGGTAGTAGGGGGATGTGCGAATGTAGATTTGATCTACCCAATTTGTTCTCATTTTGAATATGGAACACAGGGCACCATTCAATTCACAGACCCTCCAAAAATAAAAGATTTCTCAGAAAGAATCTTTATTTTTTTTATTTCTTGCAGAAATTGTTCTGGAGTTTATACTGGCTGTTGAAACATGACTTTCCCAGTTGTGCAGTGTATAAGTTGAATCAGGCTCAAGGACTTAAGAAAGTCATCCACAGTTGCTTCTGCAGATGGTAGTACAATACAGTGACAATATTGCATTATAACAGTTCTGCACTAAGGCTAAGATGTCTGGGACATAAGAACATCAAGGTTAGAGATAAGTGAGTCTATTTTGATCAGGTTTGCTTGCAGTCTATTGTATTCACAACTGAAGAGATTCAGTTATTTCTGCCTGTTAGTCATCTTTAAACTCCAGAATGTGTGTGGTGCCTCTTCTCTGGGCTGATGCCAGAGTGATACAAATTGAGCAGTAATAAATAGCCCTGTATTGTATAATTTCAACACAACATCCCTTGATTTAAATTCTACACCTTTAACCATTTATCCTATTTTTTTCCTTTTGTTATTGCTTCCCCATACTGTCTAGAAGATGTGAAGGGTGTGTCAACATAAACACTGAAATCATTTAAATTTTGTCTGAAGTAGTGTTTTCGATCTCGATCTTTACCTGGATTACAAGTGTAATGCACATGTCTGCATTAAATCTGGCATCTGCCAAGTTCTTGGCTGGTCCTGAATTGGCCTAGATCGTCAGGAGCCACAGGGAGTGTGTGGGATGTCAATGAGATAATGAGGACAAGATTCTTTGTATCCCAACTGGGCAATCCTGGGCTCTGCATAGTCATTCAGCCAGCTGAAATCAGAATCCTCTAATCACTTCTGGCTTTAGCATTAGTACAGTGAGGCTTGACCAAGGGCTCTTTCTCTCATAAGTCAGAGGGATGTTGGGTTTGTGTCAAATGTAACTCTTTGCACTTGGACAACAACATTTTCAATTTCGTCTTGTCTGACCACAAAAATCTTTGCCTCATGTTTGCAGTATCACTCAGGTGCTTTGTTGCCAAATCCATGTGACATTGGAGATGTTTTTTCAGTCCGTTACAAATCCATTTGTGTTGCAGGTGGGGTATTGTTCCCTTATGGACATTTTCTTTTATGTCAGCCACTGAATTATGTAACTCTTGATGATGCTGTTGGCTTCAATGATTCCTCCTTGCCAAGGCTGCTCAGTTCAGAGGTCAGTTTTCCTGATCTGGGAAGTGTCTTCCACTTCTTAATGATTGACCTCTGCATGCTCACAGAGAAATTAAGAGGCTTTGAAATGTTTTTATACTTCTCTTCCAATCTGTGCCTTTACACTACTTTGTTATGGAGTTGTTCTGCAACTTGCAGAGACAGGTATGTTTATTCTGAAATCATCTGAACCACTATTATTGCACTCAGACAAAGGCCACTTAAACTAATTAATTTTGGTTTCTACAGTAAAGGGTTTGAATATTTATGCAATCATGACTTTTACATTGTTTTCCATATAATCTATTTAGCTGCTGTGTGGTGAGTGTACTGTGCGCACTATGGCTGCCATCGCATTATCCAGGTGGTGCTACACATTGGTGGTGGTGGAGGGGAGTCCCCATTGCCACGGAGTATGTCACGATCATAATCCCTCCTCTTAAGGGCACTCCGGCTCTTTCTTATTTTGCTAATTATGTGCACCTGACCCCAATCCTGCCCCTCCTTATTAAATCCGGGCGCTCTTGCTACTCCCGGCTCTGCATTGGAAGACGGACGCCCGTCTTGACTACCATCAAGTTGCCCTACGCCCGCGGCTTGAGGGCATTGGCCTCCTATCGGCGTCCTGACCCAGCTGAGTCCGGGGGTCAGAGCGCCTGGCCTCGTCATGCTGTTTTCATTCCCTGTCCCTGTACTGGATCAACGTTCCAGTTTTTAACTCTGTTTTGTCCTGTCTCGGTTGGGTCACCCGGTTTTGGACTTTTGGACTTCGCTCCGGATTTTACCCCCTGGACTCCTTGAACTTGTTCGCCCTGGCTATGCCCCGAGCACCAGTTCACCATTGTCACGCCCCCCTGTCTGTCAACCCCTCCTGATCCTCGCCGTCTCCTCCCTGTTGTCCACTTATATCCGGATTATACCGTCTGTATATTGTCCTGAACTACGCATTGTTACAGAGTGTCCAGAAAAGTGTAGGGAATTATTATTATTATTTACTTCTTTCTTTTTGTGTTTTCCTTTGAATGTGTAATGTTCTAGAATTACTTGGTTTGGTTTTGTGGCCCTTTCGTGTGGATGGATGCTACAGTAGCAATCTAAAAGGATTGTGTTCCTGTACCTGAAGGCTCATTTTGATGTGCAGTGCTACTTCTCCCTCTGTTCCATGTTTCCTCTCTCTCCAGATTGCTGTGTGTCCACTTGTGCTGAACTTTACCAGCGCTCTCCATCAGTCCTGGTTCTGAGGATCCAGTTCCGTTCTGAAACACATGAACCACCACTACCACATAGACAGAGGTCACAATTCATTGTGAAGCTCATTAAGGTAATTTTGTGCAACTTAATTTAGGTTTGCAGCAGCAAAGGATTTGAATACTTATACAATCATGACTTTTTCATTTTCCTTTCATATTATCAATATACTTGTTTTTGTTTGTTGCATTGGATATGTGGAGTAGATTGTGTATATAGCAAATAATAATTCCTACTTCAAAATGTCATAACTTCAAGCTTTAAAGGCAACAGAATGTGAAAACTGTGTGAGGCACTGTATTAGGAATTTAGTCTTTCAAAATTCTCTGAAATACAATGTGCAGTAAATGAAATCAGCCCACACTTCTTTTAAATGTAAGAACATTAAGTAAAGTTTCAGGAAATAAGAGAATACTTGGGCTCTCTCAACAACAGTCACACAGTCATTCTGAGCATTGTCTTCTGTCCATGTATAATATGCCTCTGAGATGAGAAGGTGTCTGGTCTGTCTTCGAGCTGTTTTCAGGACAGCATTGGGATATTTATTATTACTTTGGTTGATTCTGCCAACCTTTGACGTAAAGTTTGGTTCTGCAGGTGGTGCTCTGGGATTCTGGACATGAAGTCCAAGCCGGGTCTAATCAGCACAGGTGCACAAAACCAAACAAGACTCGAAAAGGAAACTGAAAAAGTCCAGACAGTGCCAAATATTAAGAGTGACCGGGTTCAAAATGAGGAGAAAAATAACACCAACTGTTTTCCTTTATTCCATAGCCAACAGGCTTCCTTGAACTTTAGGTGGGAATAAGGGAAATGCCTCTTCCCTCTGAGGTCCAAAATAGAACCAAGCCCAGCTGGATCATTGCCAACCTTTCATCTGTCTCAGGCAACAACTGTTAAAGGGTTAATAACCATTAAGCAAACATTAACCAATTATGTACAACATAAGGTGATACCATGCTGAAAAGAGAAGAAAGAAAACACAACGTTTCGGCTGTGGAGCCTTCTTCAGGTGTCCGAAATGTTGTCTTTTTTTCTTCTCCTTTCAGCATGGAATAAACCTATTACTTGTTCCTTTGCAGCCAACGCATGCTGACGCAGCTACCCACCTGAACCATAAGGTGATACTCTGTATAAATACCTACATTGCCTTTCCAGACTATATACTGTATTTATCAGTAATGTATTTGTTATAGTATGTACCTGCCTGTATGGAGAATCCTCTCTGAGCCTGCGGATGGCGCTATGGGAAAAGGCGGGTAGCTGGCCCAGTCGCCACCTAGGTGACTACTTCATTTTTCTGTGTCTGTGATTGGAGTGAAAGCACCCACTGAGAGGCTCCCCATCACACCTTCTCCAACCTTTCCAGTGATCAGATCACCTCTCAGGTGATTGATAATGACAGGTGTCAAGATATACAGTCCTTCGCAAGTCGCTCAACTGGTTCAAAAGCTCTGTAATGATTTCCAAGGTGACTTGTCTCTCCAGGATCCATTTGATGGCTAACCTCTCCAACTCAATTACAAAGGAACAAGCCTCTTGGGCACTTACTGTTCTGCCCCCTTCTCTCCTTCAACAGTAAAAGGGTGCAGTAAAGGCTGGGCTGTGCAGCACTGGGTTACTGCTGATAAGGATCTGTAGATTTAAAAAAGGAACCATAAACCTATGGCATTAAAAATGCATCTGGGAAGAATGCATACGAGCATCTACAAACAAGTGTTTTTGGCTCATCTAGCCCATTTGGTTGTTAAGGGATGATTGATCTCATCCAAGAATGTGGCTGGGTAGGTTGTTCCACACTCCCACAACCCTTTATGTAATTAAGTGCATCCTGTTCTCACTGCACTTTCCATTCATGTCCTCTTGTTCAGTGTTTCACTGTTCATTCTGATGCAGTCCAGGCTGACTCTGCCAATACCTTTGAGGATTCTGAATGATTGTGTCCAGTCCCTTTATCTCTTAGGCCCAGTAACACATCTGATTCTTCTTCGTGCATCTGCTTGTTTTTCACTTTCCTATAAGATGGTAACCAAAATTGTACACAGTGTAAATAAGACTTTTCTAGTGTGATACACAATTATAACATCTATCCATCCATTTTTTAACTGCTTTATCCAATTCATGGTCACAGGGGAGCTGGAGCCTACCTTCACAAGCAATGGGCACAAGATAGAAAACACCCTGATTGGGACACCAGTCCATCACAAAGCACACCACACAAACACAGACACACAAACTTTCCCAGAAGCCAATTAACCATCCAGTATGTGTTTACACTGTAAGTCCCAGCGTTTGAAAATTGCAGGTGAATAGCTCAGCGCTCATTGGGTGGGCGGACTGTTCTTCCTCCGCCTCCTCCTCCCCTGTAGGGAGTCATCGGGAGGCAGGAAATACAGAAACTATCAGCAATTTCAAATTTGGTGGGTACAAAATGAATAATTAAAAATGAACCTCATTAGGAACAGAGCCTCCAGCTTGCAGTCTTGGTCGAGAGTATGTAAATCTCCTTGGGTTTCTTAGAGTCACTCATCATCTGGGCCATCCAGCCCCAGCACCTTCCTATCACAGCAGCCCCAAGGCTGCAAGTACTAACTGGTGTTCCTTCGGTGCTAAATAAAAGACAGACTCATTTTTTTTTCCAGAACTGTTACTTTTTTACTGGAGACAAATCATTTCCACCCATGCGTTCTTGTGTAACATGCAGATATTAAATACAGGAGCTTCCAGTTTACTACAGTGAGGAACAATGTTTCAAATAAAAACATACCAACAGTAAACTCTGTAATGGTATTTCTGCTCTGGTGTCAAGAGTGAAACAATCAGAAAGAAGTGCTACTCAGCTCTCACAGTAAAAGTCCCTGCAGGCAAAGGGAAATGATAGAAACCTTTATCACAGTGAAAGACACACAGAGAATTAGAAAAGCTTTTACAATACAAAAGAACCAGCAGGTACATCAACGTCTTTGCTGACAGGCAGACAATACCTTTAAGTTTAACATCTTACTCATCAGTTCTATTTACAAGAGTAAATTTGTTGTTTTCCCCCACCAATAGATAGAAGGAAAAACCATCTACCACCAGTACAGTCGTGAACTCTACTGCCATCACATCATCCCTGTGCTGCCAGTATTCCCTTTTCCCTTTAGCTCCTTCTTCCAAACCATTACTGTGGATCAAATTGCTGGACCGCCAGCCCACACAGGCAAAATAATGGCCAAGTCAACAGCCAGACACAGTAGGATTGATTGTTGTGTTGTGATTATGATTTCACTCCTGTAACTGGCTAGGGGTCTGACTTTTGTTGCCCTTATGCTGAGCTTTAAAAAGCACATATAATGTTATCAGAAGTCTGAAGAGGGTTTAACACTTGATCTTAACTTGGTCTTAACATGTGTAAAGCATCTACAATGGTATTTTAGTACTGGTGTTTTTTGTGAGTATGTTAAAATGTGGCAATTCCTGTAATATTTAAACATGGAGAACACAGAGCTCCTGTCCTAGTGAAACAAGAACACCAGCACACAAGGTAATTGTTCAGATGTCTCACAACCCCTCTCTGCCCAGGTACAGTATATATATCAGCATTCGGCATCAGTCCTTTCTACAATGCTGTGTCCGTGCCTGCTTTGTTCTGTGTGTGATGTTACTTCCAAGGCATCACTGTTTGAAACAACAGAATTCAGTATTTTGTACGTAAAGCTAATTTGTAGGTATCTTTTCTCCATTCAAAACAAATAAAATCGTGCATCGTGAGATTCCCACCTCACAGCAAAACACCTCACTTATACAAAACATTACTAAATTACTATTTGAGATGCTAGATAAACTAGATAATAATAGTAATAAATAAAAAATAAATCATTCCTAATCTTTCCACACAGTCCATGCCAAAAAACAGTAAATGAACTCAAAAACATTATTAAAGAACACAATCACAATGCAAAGGCCATTTTTGGTAAATTCTTGTGTTTAAAAAAACAAACAAAAAAGATCCAATAAATTAAACTTAAGAGAGTGAAAATCACTGCATGCCATGAGAACTGATGTTATCATGCTAACATCAGCACAGCAGCACACATCCCATATTGAACAGCTGCTGAACCATATCAATTTCAAACTTGAAATAATAACTTTAAATATAAGCAGTGTGTACAAATTGTGTAAACGGACACCTGAGGGACCAGAATAAAGTATGAAGAAAATTTTTAAAACAAAAATGTTGAAAGGACCAGTCAAGTCCAAGAAACAAATCCAAAGTGGCCAGTTCTGTTTAAAATCCAAGGATGGGAAAGAAGAACATTGACTAGAGCACCAAGGCACAAGCATACACAAGGAGGAGAGACACACAGGAATGGGAGAGACCCAGCACCAGGGCAGAGACACACAGGAGGAGAGACACATCACCGGGGCAGAGACACACAGGAATAGGAGAGACCCAACAGCAGGGCAGAGACACACAGGAATAGGAAAGACCCAGCAGCAGGGCAGAGACACACAGAAGGAGAGACCCAGCACCAGGGCAAAGACACACAGGGGGAGAGACCCAGCAGCAGGGCAGAGACACACAGGAGGAGAGACCCAGCACCAGGGCAGAGACACACAGGAGGAAAGACCCAGCACCAGGGCAGAGACACACAGGAAGAGAGACCCAGCACCAGGGCAGAGACACAGGAGGAGAGACCCAGGAGCAGGGCAGAAACACACAAGAGGAGAGACCCAGCAGCAGGGCAGAGTATTTGCAAGGTGAGCAGAAGAGTGCAGCACAGCCTGGAGTCAGAGTGGCACTGAAAAATGACAAAGAGGATGACAGAGAGACTCGGGCAGCGCCGGTGGAATGAATGAACGAATGAAGCCAAGGACAGAGTGGCTGGATGGTCAGTTAGGAATGGAAAGTGAGCTGCAATTTAGCAATCACAAAATCAAAGGAAGAGGAGACAGAAGATGGGAAAAGAGTGAGAGCATCCTGAGTTCTCCCATGAGGCCACACGCACAGATTGACACAGGGCAGAGTGAGTGGAGGAAACACCCAGGCACACTAGAGTTTTCAGGCTGATGCAGGACAACGCCCACCAGTTGCCAAAGAATTGCCAAGAGAAGATAACTCACTCTCTTCTCTGTTCTTCTGGGAATTCCGATCTTCCTAGTCTAATAAATATTCACAGTACAACACTATTGCCACTTGGAATCATGGAGCTCCAGATCCTGGACTAATAAACTGGTCCTTCAGGTGCCAAGAGATGCACAGCAGACAAACTCTAAACAGGCAAGAACTACAGATTCCTTAGGATCTATGGCCTCTTCCTGAAATAATGACCTCCAGCATACCTGTTGGATATTGGAGTGTAAATACACATGTAAGTTGGCCATTAGATTACCCCTTATACAAATCCTGAAACTAAAATGCATTTATCAATATCTTAAAAAGTTAATTAATTGCACCGAGATAACACATTTTATCCCTTAGTGACGATCAACAGAAATATGTTGAATAATTACAATTTTCTTTAAACAACTGAAAAAATGATTATTTTGTATATTTTAAGAAAATTAATAATTGTATGAGGGGCAAAACTAGGCCTTGAAGTGTAAACTATTTTAGCATTGCATTGTAATATACAGTGGAAAAGCTATTAGCTATTTTCTAGAGCTATTAACACCTTTATAATTAATTTTATAAAGAATATATAAAGAATTAGGGAAAATTGACTTTTTCATTGTACATGCTGTTTTAACACTCATTTTTGTATTGAGAGCAGAAGGGAGAGGAAAACTGACTACCTAGGCTTTGCAGTGTTACAGTCCCCTGCTGCTACCTAGTGGAGTGAATTTACAGCATATAACTTATAACACTAATATCCCTGGAGAATGACCTGCAAATTAACTGAATGATTACTGAAATCAAAAGTTTATTTCAAATAATAAGTTTAAATGTTGACCAAAAATCAGCAGGCTGGGTGCAAACCTGAGCTGATCAGTATGTTACTATTACAGGGAATCATTCAGTAAGTGAAGAGAAAGACAGTGTGATGATGCTCTCTTCAGTTGCATTTCCAGAAGGCATCTTGACAGTGGCCGATTCTGTGCACTTTCAAGGCAGGTTCTGTCTGATATGGAAAATGTCTTGGAAAACCTGTATGCTGTTTACTTACATAGATTGTATTTCTGACTTTTCTTCTTTTTTGGGAAAAGATAAATGCATCTCTTCATTTTCTTAAGAATTCAAAAATGGTTAAATCTAAAATTTACCATCTAACCCTACCCACCTCTCTGATTGCAATATTTTACTACATAACTCATCCTTAAATATTACAATGCATTCACATTCACGAATCTCAAGCAACACAGAGACAGAATGTAAAACAAGAAGTTAAAACACATAAAATCTCGCTCTGCGTGTCTGCTCACATGCCGACAGAGCACTGTCACAGCACGGCGTTTAGCAGCGGACAGGTACGTCGCGTTACAGAACAGAGGAGATGGAAACACTCTCCCGCAGGGCGCTGCCTATTGCTCCAGGCACACCTGTTGCTCCAGAGAGGTTCCTAATTCCTGCAGGACTCTGGGCTACTGGTAAGGGCAGGTACGAAGGGGAGGCGCTGGCTCTGGCGCAGCTTTGTGAACTTAATACTTGGCTACTGGGCCAATGAAAACGAGCCTCTGGACCGTGGCCATTAATAAAAACTCTATCCAGGCACAGATGTCCAGATCACACTGTACAGTCTTAAAGAACACAAGCTGAAGTGGACTCCACTGTGTCCTTGTGCTAGGAGCTGGACCCCCGTGGCTCCAGCTTTAGGATCTGACACATTTTTCACAGGACTGCCCTTTTGATTTTAAACAAAGAAAAATTGTAAAGTTACTCCTTTTCAGAATTAGGTCCCTCACTAAACACACAAGCTTGCTTTTGGCACCTGCCATGAAAAAGCTGACCAGGCAGAACAGCAGGGACAGGCTCGTTGTTGAGGCCAGCTGCTTCCCTGAGCCCTCGCTCTCCCCTTCCTGCCCATCGCTTTCTGCCCCCTGCCCTGCAGATCCATGGAAAGTGGGAGGCTGTTCTCCTAAAGCACAGCACAGCTCAAAAATACACAGGACTCCTATGCAAAACCAAGAAACTATCAAAAGCAACACATATCTGTTTTTCTGAACAGCTTAAGATACTTTTTTAAGTTGCAGATGATATTTTCTACATACCGCACTCATGCAGCAACAGTAAGTATTTTTGAAAAAATACATGTGTGTGGTAGCACTTTAGTTCAAGGGTTGAAATTTGTATTTATTCATTTAAAAATGATTTATGACCTATATCATCTAACTACAGAATTAAATTCAGCCATTTTCTTAATAAGAACTTATCTCTATTTAGGACTAATTACAAGTACAGTATATGAGCATGTCATATTAGTCCCATTTCTAAACACTTTACTATATCTTGTACCTTGTTACTTGTTAAGTAACCATAAAATGTGATTTTCAACTCTAAAGTATAACCAAATCTCTGTTATAATTTTATATTTTGTCTTTCTTATTAAATAAATACAGCATGTCAGTTGGCATATTAGCCTATGTCTTTCAATATATTATTTCTCTAGATTTTTACAGTGCACCACGATAATGTGCGAATATAAAAATGCTGTTTATATTGCAACTTTATGTGCTGCCAGTAAGGTCTAATACTATCTAAAATAAAGTTTCTAAAACAAAATGAATAGTTTCTAAAACAATTAAAGGAAATTTCCCTTTGGTACCAGACTTCCAAGAAATGACCTTTAAGAGTTTACAAGGCAGAGCTCTTTTTTACAGTTTTTGTCAGCTCTGGACCAAGATATTCTGACATTTTAAAAAGCCCTGGTGTGCAGAAGGCTTTCAGCCTGATTCCCCATGTTGCTGATGAAAGTGTTCCAGTGAGCGTAAGGAGCTACAGTAGTTTTGATTTCAATGTACCTCATACACAATAGGATACGACAATCTTGATCTTTCAAAGAGAAGGGTCATCGATGACATTTAATTAAATACAGTTTTCTATGAGGAATGTCTGAACAAAGAGGGAGGTCTTCAACATTTTCCATCTGCCTAGGACAGTGTATCAAAATATCTTGGTCGTTTTCACACTGAACTGTCATTCAAACAGCATTTCCTAAGCCGCCACCTTACACAGGGCGACCCTGTGATAATGTAAAGGAGCTGTTTGGTTACAGATTTGTTTCAGTACCAGTACCAAGACTTGTAGTTATTGTTTCCACGTCATTACGCAAATTTATCAATTGTGGCGGTAAAGCCTACAAAGAATCTGATCATTTCAGCAGATCTCTCGGTAACAGTTGGCTTGTCGTGTATCTTGTTTCGTTCCAGTGGAATCTGGGAAGGACGGCCCTGCCTGACCTCAGGTTTCCCAGAGATCCCCGGGGCAGCGCCCTACACATTGATGGCATGGGCATGCTTCTTGCACAGGGGCTTGTCCTTCTTGGAGTAGAAGGGCTGACCTTCCAGATTGATGTGGCACACCTGCAGGGTACAGTGAGAACACACAGTCTCAGGGGAGAGGGAACACTGGCGGTCACTGCATTTATTACGTACAACTGCAGATTAAGATTACCATCTTGTTTAAATCATTTCAAACCAAGCACTATCCTGTCAATGTTATACACTAGTAGTTATTAAATAAATCAAACTTTGTTCTTTTTTTTCCAAAGACAACAAAATATATAACACAGAGAAAAATCACCTTTCCCCACCTCAAACAATCCCTTCTCATCTATCTCCCTCTGTGGAATTCCTCTCTGTCTTTCCAGCTAAAGGCCCCTAAAATCCAGTCACACAGCTGCAATGAGTCCCGTGGAACAAGGCTCTGCTATGTCAGTAGCAGCACTCTAGGCCTGCACTGCCCCCCACTGGGGCCATAAATCCCTGCAGTGGAGCTCCTGGTCCGTATTATCAGGACAGGCTGGGCTCCAGCAATGCAAGGGGAGGGAATACAGAGGATCCCAGCTAATAGTGCTATTGCCTGCTAGCTGCAGTTAGACTAGTTAGCCCGATCCAGTTTTTCCTCTGCCAGAGGCCCAGATTAGAAGGGATGTTCAAAAACCTGATCAAAACCACCTCATTAACACCTGAAATAAAAGATAATTATCTTGACAAAGGAGCTGTATGACACAAAGACCTGCACTGAAAACCAGCAGAGACCCTAGTACTTCACTACATGCTTGTAGTCTACAGCTAGTTGTCCACAGAGGGCCTCTGCCCCCTGCTGGTCAGGAGGCGATACCTACCGCACAGACGAAGCAGGTGTCATGCCAAGTGTGGCCCAGAGCTTCTATAAACTTGTCCCCAGCCTCCACAGGGAAGTCGCAGCCATGGCACTTGGTGCTGAAGAGAGCAATGTAATCTGGAGATAGGCAGAGACACTGGTGAGGAGTGAGTTAAGGCTTATATAATAGAGCATAAAAAATACAGGTACATGTCTGTCACAAGCAGATGCTGCATTGACACAAATATTTTGTCACTTTTATTTCTGCCTAGGAAAGCTAATCGTGCTGACCCAAAAGACACAAGCACCATACCATCTATCCAGTTAAGGAAACACGAAAACCTCGTTCAGTACTGCATCCTATACTCATTTAATAACAACAACAATTTTTATGCCCAAGTGGCTGCAGGCATTTTGGGAAGGAACTGGCAACTGCAGTTAGAAAAATACTCTAAAAGTATTTAACTGCTAAGACAAAATTGTAATGTTTGTTTTTACAGTTTGTATTTATGATCACAGATAAATATAAACAAGAATTACAATTTAATATTCATATATTATTTTGGAGTATCTACATGCATACATTTAATCATATTAGAATAAAAACAAATTTTATGTTCACCCCAGTGATTTGAGGTTACCATAAGGACACTTCAGTGTTAAGGTCAGTATTTGGATGCATGTCTGATTAGGGCAATAACTGCATTCATTTGTGAACCCCTGAGCAAATCAATCAGTTCCGATGCTTTGCCAAGCCTTTGCTGAAGCCACTGTGAATTCTTGGGGTTCTTCTCCAGAGTGGACCAAGCATGCTCAGGTGGGCGGACAGCTGGAGACTGACTTGCGTTTTCCACTTTTTTCTCCTCCTTGGTTGCACTGGCTGTGTGTTTTGGGTTACTATCATGCTGTATGGGAAAGTGCAGCCCTATAAGTACTGTATGGAAACATTTCCTTATACACGAGAGAAGGATTAACTTCCACCCCTTATTCCAGAGGTTATTTCAGGTTTTCCTTGAGAATTTATCAACTGCAGATGTTTTTTTGACAAACCAGTCTTGGCTGATAAATAATTATGTCTATGGCTTCTTTCTTCTTTACATACTCAGCAGATTGTTGATGGTGTTATGCATGATTTATTTGTGATGGCTCTGATGGGCCATTCTTTTCTTTCAGCTTGATAAATACCTGCTTTTCTACAACAGGCATTTCTATGATTTTCATTTTCACTTTCAACAAAGGATTTCAAACACTGAGTTCAAAGCAAGAAAGGATGATAGGATTTTCACAGCTATTTTAATTGCTCAACAACTACATCCTGACCAGCAAGAAACTCCAGTAATTCAATAGCTCCATTTTGCTCCTTAAATTTAAGTGGATCACCTCTATGACTCCTGGGAGTAGAACTCATATCAAAAATACAAAACTTAGTCAAAACTCCATCATATTTAGCAAAAAAATTAAAGAAAAAAGATTTAAATTATTTACTGTGTACATTATTTAAAATTATTAACTTTTTTACATATTTAGTATTTAGTAAAAAATGATCATTATTAGATTTCACAGTGGTAATCTCAGTTTAGACTTCACTGTGTGTTTATCACCACAGCTAATGGACACAGTGTGGGCAGAGAGGCGTGTGAAGATGAAAATAAGGAAGAAGGCTTTTGCAAAACCCACTTGTTCTTATTTTTGACTAGAAATACCCAACAGCAAGCAGGGAAAAGGGATTCGTATTTAATTCTCAAGCTGTTTATGTGATGAAAGCCTTGGCTGCTAGTGGCAATGTGTGGTTGCTGACATGGACGTCCCATCCTGAGATGGTACCTTTCTCACAGTAGGGCTCCCCATCCTCCATGTGAAACAGGCTGTTCCCAAAGGGCTTCCCACAGGCAGCACACACAAAACAGGTGGTGTGCCAGGTCTGCCGCAGGGCATGCATCACTTCCTGCCGGGAGAGAGCAGACAGTTGGCAAGACAGTAATTAGGCACATGCAGAAACAATGAGCACTGAAGCCAGCAGGGAAGACAGAGGGGCTGAGACAGTACTGGACACCTCTCACTCCTCCCCTGTTCATGGACCTCAGGCTGTTTTTTATCTCAATTTTTAATCTCCCATTAGTGTAGTTATGGACACTATATTTGGAATAGAAGGTGTTGTATTTCTTTTTGAAACCACTGCATTATGTAGTTAACTTTGGAACTGTTTTACACTTCAGAACTATTTTATACTTGAAAGACTTATAACTGAAACCACCAAATTCTCTTGGATAAAAGCAACAAATACATAAACCGGCCATGTTGAGAAGCAATCAGGGCTCTAGACTACTAACTGGAAGGCTGTGGGTTCAAATCCCAAGTGTGTCACTTTACGCTTAAGTAAAGTTCTTCACATTAAAAGCTGCTCCAGTGAAACACCCAGCTATATAAACTTAAGTCACTTTCATAACAAATGTCCTCTAAATAAGTCTGTAATTAAAAAAAAAACCAAATAACTAATACACAATACATTGTATTCCACTCAATATTGAAAGCAGGGTTAGGATTGCCAGGCAGTGATGGAGGACTGTGGGAAGTGTCCCAGCACTCCCCTCCAGGACTCACCCCCATGACCTTGGTGTTGCAGCGGGCACAGGTGGGGGCGAAGAATTCCCCATAGCAGGACTCGCAGTACACATTACTCTGCTCCTCCACGAAGCACACGTCAGCCAGCGAGGTGTGGCAGTAGTGGCAGTTAAACTCCTCGGGGTGCCAGGATCGCCCCAGCGCCACCAGGAACGGACCCCTGGCAAGGCAACAGAGACAAGCTTTATCCATGCTGGTGTGCAGTAAGGAAACGAGTCTCGCTCTGCCTGTATCACTGCATCTGCTTGGCTTACTGCCTTTACTTCGCGCTCTACAACTGAGGTGCTTGTGTCACCTGATGCACAGCAAGAATTGATCTGTACCCTTGACACACAGCGCCGGAATGCAGTACCACATTTTGATTGTGTTTATTTTGCTTTACAAACATCAGCTTTCTTCTTGGAGGATTTCTGTTCTCCTGGCCATGTGACACGCTGGCCTGTCACCCTGTGTGCGAGCAGCATACACAGGCAGAGCTGTGTTTGTACCTCAAGGCTTCCTTAGCAATGGGGACGAGCACGGGGATCAGTGATCGGTGCTGTCTATCACCTTTACCTGATGATGCTGTTGCAGCACGCACACATGGGGGTCCGGCTGCCGGCTGGGAAGCGCTCAGCCCTCTGGGCGACTCCGCGGGCGGCGGAGGGGGCGGGGGCGGGGAAGGGCGCGGGAGAGAGGTTGAAGGCGGGACTGGGGCCTGCAGGAGAAGGGGCCTGCACAGGGTTGGGGATGTAGGTGGGTTGCACAGGGTTGGGGATGTAGGTGGGTTGCACAGGGTTGGGGATGTAGGCGGGGGCAGGGGGCGCTGCCTGTGGAAGGGGATGGATGTGTTTAGTCACGGTGGTGGTGCTCTTCCCAGGAACAAACTTCTGTGCAAAAGAGTCATCTGTCACCCAGGGGGGGCGACTGGAAGGGCTAGGGGCAGCTGGAGCCTGGGCAGGAGCTGGAGCTGATGCAAAGACAGAAACAGAAAAGGGAAATTAAAATCGTTTTCTAATTGGGTCTCATAACAAAATGAACTCTGGCCTGTGGGCTTGGGTACACAAAATGAGCTCTGGCCTGTGGGCCTGGGTACACCTTTTGGACTGTCAGAATCTCCATCATTGTGCAATCTGGGTTCAAACAGTATGCAAAGAACTGCAGTAAAGACCATGCACTGGTATAAGTTTCATCAGGTTAAGAAATTAGCCAGAAGGTAAAATTACCAGGTCTGGTTCTCTACTATGAGCAAATGAGCCCAGTGATTCATGTACTGTGGGGTGGGCAGGATGACTACAGGAAGACTACAGTGCATCTAGCTAGCATGGTTACTTAGCATGCTACCTCAGGAAGACGTACCTGGTGCAGACGGGTAGACAGAAGGCACAATGCTGGCAGTGCTGATGACCTTTGGCTTAGGGGGCCCCATGGGGATCTCAATAGAGCTCTGCTGCAAGCGAGGCTGGGAGTAGGGACTGCATGAGAGAGGCACAGGGCTGTGTGACATCATCACAATCCAGGCTGTCGCTCATTACCAGGGAAGAAGTGCAACAGCAAACCAAAGGATCACTGCATATCAATTACATATTAATAAATATGGGGAAATGAAATCACCATCAACTTGAACTGTGTAGCTTGCACAATGCAGAATTGCTTGTTTATTTCTGCATTTAACACCATTAAGCCAAATTACTAAGACTGATTGCTCTACATGTCAAGAAACTCTAAAATAAATTACCAATCCTACATGCATATCAAATAGATATGTATAATAAGCCCCAGAATGAGAGTTTTTCATAAAAAAGTATTCCTATATTCTTTTTCGTAATAAAGTGTTCCTTGGGGTTGACCCCCACAGACGAAAAACAAACCTGGGTCGCAGAAGTGCTTCACCACCGTGTTCGTCCCCAAGTGAGGAAGAACAAGTCTTCCTCCCCTAGACTCTGTGCAAAATTAGTGGGGTTTAATACAGCAGACCCACAAACGAAGCAGGCTGGGATGTAAGGCCAGTGTTAGAACAGAGAGTCTTAGGAGTGGAGAGGGCTGTCAACAGTAGCCTACAAAACTGTAGGAGAGGGAGTAAATGCCTATGGCCAGGCTGTTAAAAACAGTGGTTAGAGGAAGGGGAGAGAAGCATGGGAGTCAACCCAAGGCCACAGACTGCGCTGGAACAGAAGAAGAAAAACAGTGAAGGGGTTATTCAGAGGGTTACTATCCAGAGGGTTACAGGGGTACAGTCCAGATGTGCTGCTCGTTGTTGTACCTGGAAGTGGAGGTTTTAGACTTGAAGCTGGAGGCAGAAGAGGACTGCATGTTGAAGCTATAAAGGGACAGAAAAGAATGGGTTTTATGTGACAACACTTTACTTCTCAGCCTGGGAAGAGGCCTGGTCTTGAGTTCTGACCCGGAAGCTGGGGCTTGTGCTCACACTGTGCTGAGCTCCATACTGAGGACACAGGACTACTTCACAGTTACCACTTACAGAGTTCCCATGGTACTACTGCAGTCTGCCATGCATTTAGTTTGCTTTTCCATTGTTTCCCTTGGCTGTTATTACCAGGCCTCTGTACACACTACCATGCTTTGCCACAATTTCACTGATGTTTATCAAGGTATACCACAGTAAACCTACACAGGCGATAGGAAGACAAGAGTCAGATTTCCATTCATTCTGAAAGCTGAAAGGAGAGGCTCTCATTCGAGATGGAACTTGGTTGGGTCCTGACTGGAGGTACTGGTCGGTTACCTGCTTTCGTTCTATTCACCTCCAGACCCCAAACTGCAAGAAGCAGGTCATTATTTTTAAAATAGGGACTAAGGACTGTGGATATGTGGATGTCTTATTACACCATATCTACAGTAAACTATTCCTCAGCCACTTCAGCCAACAGCAAGTTGTCTTTCTGAACTGAAATTTTACCAGCTGAATATAAGCACTGTTGAAGACATGCTGTCCAACTGAAAGAGCTCTGAAATCACACCAGCCTCCAAACTGTGCCTTATATAAACTACAGATACACAATCCTCACACAAGTGCAGCTACAGAGGGTCAGGAGTTCATGACCTGAGAATGTGCACACACCCAGATGGCTATCCCTAACTGATGCACATCATTATGAAAGTTTATTCTGCTTTTACCATGGTATACTATAGGAAACCTTTATCAGGGTTTCAGCCGTGTCCTACAGAAAGCCAGTGCCAGTGTGCCCTGTTAATGATGCCCCAGCACTACAGGCTGGTTTCTAATCAAAGCACTAGACTAGGGGCTGCTGCAGGGCAATCCAAGTGTACGCAATTAAGGGGCGCCAGACAGAACTGCTGAGTAACACCACTGTCATGCAGGTGCGGAGCTAAACCACGTCATGCCCTCCTCCGCCATTTTCATTACAAATTCATAACTCTGAAAATAATTAATCCATTTTCTTTCTCCATATTCATAACCCCAGAGGGACTGTTTTCACACACTGCAAGGGATGCTGTCACATTCAAACCCCAATATTATCACTTATATTGATTTACTCTGCCTTAAACTAAATTCCAGTAGATCTTAGGACAGTCCCAGCGGTCTAGAAGTAGTCTCCTGATGCCAGCTCCGAAGACTCACTGCGCTAGGCCCCAGGAGAATGTCAGTCAGTCCTGTCTGGATGCATGCAGAGCTGCTGTGGCGTGCAGACGGGCGTGGGTGAGCCTGGGATAGCAGCCTACCTGGGCCTGGGCCCACTCAGAGCAACCAGACATACACACTATCATGGTGAGGCATAAGACAGGGCACTGGAAGTAATGGAAAAGGGTTTTCAAAGCCTTTCTGCACCATAGCGAAATTTGCACTGGAGATTTATTTTTTTCTGCTGCAGTAAAGTAAGTAAATTAGTTATTAACATAATAGTAAAAAAAATACCTACATGGAAAATACATACCAAGTCTTTTTTTTTGCTGTTGTACTACATGAAATGGCAAAAGCTGTCTTTAACTGGACCTTCTTAATAGTCATAGCAAAAAATACAAGGCTGCATTATGAACTATTTCTTAAATAATACCGAAAAAATATCACTAACAATTCTAGGTCTGGTTGAGCGTATTAAAGTTAACTGTTCCAGCTGACAACTTTACATTTAGCCAGAGAACCCTGAAGAGCAAATTTTCATTGATGTGTCAATTCCATTTATTCATTTCTTTGGAAGTCAAAAAGGAGGAGAATGAACTGGGGACAGTTAATGTTCTCGCCTTGGTGGGATGGACTGAAGAGTTGAATGCTGCTGTTAGTGGAGAATATCATGAAAAATTCAAGCACAACACCACTGTCCAACCTTTACCACCTGCAGAGAACCTATGCTATGACTGCAGCACAGCTCAGCACACAGGCCAGTCGCAGTTTATTTGAAGTACACTGGGCTTCGGGCAACATAAAAACCTATCCCCCTTTATAACACCATCACTGGTGGTGGAGCTGGTGGTCATGGTGGAGCATTGTGCACACCAATATATCAATCTTGTGCGGATTCCTACCCTGCATGTGCAGGAGCCACACAACAGTGCTCAAAATGAGGCAGTGTGAGCTCAAAGCACGGATTCCAAAGCCATCACTGTCCCTGTCCTGCCATGTGGAAAACTAACAGCAGAAGGGAGAGGTAAACAGCACCTATAAATCAAATCATTAGTGCAACACAACACAGCAGGAGACTGAAGTGTCAGACCAACCACTGTTTTCACAAATGCCACACTCAGTATCAGGTAACTGAACAAAAAAGCATCAGACACTGAACACAGCAGCATTACACTACAAGAGACCACACAAGAGAAGTTGCTTCTTCTTCTCCCCAGCCATTCCTTAGCTCTTGCTCTTTATAATCTCATGTTAGGAAATAGTAGTGAGGACCCTATGCAGAAAATCAGGGCAATCTCCAAACACGTAGTCGATAGAACAATCCGGGGTCTGAAAGCCGAAGATAAACAAGCCAGTGCAAAAGTACAAAAACCAGAAGCGGAGCTGGAAGCCGTGAGGAAGCCGAGAGTCAAAACCAGAACGACAACTAAAGTACCTAAACCAAAACCAGGAGACGTAGTCGGAGAACAAACCAGGGTCGGGAAGCCAAAAAACGAGAAGTATTAATGACAATCGGAGTAGCTCTAGCCAGGAAAAACCCTACTACTAAACACAGGGGAGAATGTGAAATAGCATTAAATAGGTTGGGGTAAATGGGCTAATTGGGAACTGTGCTGGAATGCGAGGTGGAATGACGAATCCTCTGGGGGCGTGGTGTAACATCTCAGGAACATTGAAGGAGCTGTCCGCAATTTCTTAATTATTTGGTTTAGATAAGTAACCAACACACAACCCTTGTGAAATTGATAGTAAGATCAGTCTGAGAATTAACTGCTATTGTAAAACGTGATAATACAGCAACTGCTCAAGTAGTGCCCAAACAGTGCCAATATACAGCATGATGTCACAGGATAATTCCTAAGGACAGGCTGTCAATCACTAGGACCTTCCAGAGACATTAGGTATGAAAGCACTACAGAGTTTAAGCCCATGGACTGTAGGGACTACAGCTGGTTCTACACTTGCAGACACCCTGCCCTGCACCTCACAGACAGAATACAGACACAGCCATCAGACTCATTCCACAGAGCATGTTACAGAGGTGACGTTGCCCCCTCTCGAAATCTTGTGGAGAATGGTAGGAGAACCAGTCCTGTCCAGTGAAGGACGCTCTGATTGAATCCCAGCAGGGACAGAGCAGAGCTGACCAGGACTCTACTCTCAGCGAGCCTGCACAATTCATCAGAAACTAACAAACCCAACACTTCAGTACCAGCCTGGCATGTTAAATTGGGCACCCCTGTCCCAATTGCAAAAAAACATAGTTGTTTAAATTTTCCATAATTGCTCCACACCAGTGATTTAATATGATGTACAGTATGTCTGTTCAACCAGGTTGTCAATCATCACTATGTTGCACGTGAAAATATGTATTCCTTATTTCCTCAACCCTTGCTCAGTGCAGTGTTAGATAAACGGGGCCTTTTATTTCAGTGACAACTAGTAGAGTTCAGCAGAAGATTCTTGCATGAAATTCTGTCTCACAATTAATTCCTCTGCCAGCGGCCCGACTCCAGTGAGCTACAGGATTCCTTCCTGCTCTGTTCTCGGCTCGGTGCAGTTCTGGTCAGATGGTCTATGCGTCGAGGCATATTTCAGTATGGTAGGGCTCTGGAACTCCCCTAGCCTTGACTCTGTAACGGGACACCACCTGTTAGAAAAGTGGGAGGAGTCTGTACAGTCAGCTGTCAGCGTGGCTGAAGTGTACCTCTGTCCCCTATCCCAGCTTGCCCGGTGGTTCTGCACACCACTGTGGGGGTCAGTGTTGCTGCGACGTGCTGTTAGTCTGCCCAGCCATGTACCTCAGCTGCCTGCGCTTCCCCGAGGGCAGGGAGGGGCCGGCGGGCACTCGCTGCGGCAGAGCTCTGGTGCGGAAGATGGGGGTGATTGGCAGGGCCTCCAGGGCTGTCGTTGGCTTGGCCAAGTTACTAACACTGTTTCTAGTTTGTAAAGAGTTGACAAGAGTTAAGAAAAGACAGCTTAGGGCAGGGAATCCCGATCTAAGGTCCTCCAGGGCCAACTGCTTTTCACACCACCTGAAGAACATCTGTGCTCATCAAACACAGTTTATTATTTTTAAATCTGCTTTTTTTCTGCACAATGAGGAAGTGTTATACGCTGTAAGACGCTGTGGCCCTTGAGGACCAGACTTGAGCGCCTCTGGCTTCAGCTTCAAACCCCTGCAGTACATGTTAATGAAAAAAAGTTTTGTTCCTTCTTAAAACCCCTTCTGGAGTACTTTATACCAAAAGTGTGACAGAAACTAAAGCAATCTCTCACCATTATTTCAGTCTTTTCTGCTAGAGGCTCAGAGGTCTGAAACCACACTTATGAACTATCTTGTTCTTCCACCACACTTCCATATTCCTGCTTATACAAATCAGTCTTTTCTGTGAGTACCTTATTGAGGCACAAGCCCAAGCTACAAGACACTGCTGTTTGTGTCTGATCCCTCTTGTGCTTGGTGTTGTGTCCCAGAAAGGCTGTTATTTTAAACTAGGCTCTGTAAAGATTTCTTCTTGCTCATCCATTTAACCTAAAAAGAACTCTCACAGGTAGAAGATCCTAATCATGGGTTGTCTCTACTAACATACTTCTGAACGGTAGGCATGTCTCACAGCCCGCACCTCTCCTGCTCTTTCTCCGACAGCCTAGGCAGTTCTAAGACAGGCTGGAGCATGAATTACTCCCCTGTAGGCCCTGTGAGCACAGGTAGTGACCCAGCTCTTTGCACCTCCTCCTGGATGCACAGGTTCTGAAGACCCTAGCTAGCCTCCACTCCTCCCCCAAATACTTCCAAACACCTGGTCACTTTCAGACAATGTGAAGCTGTGCAGCTACTGCATATTAGCTACACACACATTCCTGAGTTAATGTGCTAATCCTGAGAAAACATTCACACTTATACAATCTCCTAATAGGATACAAAATTGGTCCCCAATTCTACAGGTTCTCAGTTCAGTTGGGCTGAATCAGTTCATTGCTTAACTTGACCAGTTTAACAGCTTCTCCCAGCTATTCAAGTGATGCTGCTTTATAGAGACCTGGAAACCCTGCAGAAACCCCTGAAACCAGGACTCGACACCTCTGTTTTGCAACGTGAACACGACTTATTGCCATTGTTTGGTCCCTGAACCCAAGGTCTGCTCAAAATAACCTGCAAAAAGAAGGAAAGAAACAGATGTGAAGGGCACATGTACCTAGACTGCGCTGTGATGGCAGTGGAGATAGTGGAGGCAGCCAGCGACAGGTTGCGGGACCCTGGAGAAGCTACAGGCAGAACAGGTGCTGGTGTGCTGCAGAGGACAGAGCATGAGACAGAGTAAAGGACACCTGCACACAGATTTACTGACACACTGGGGCTCAGAGAGTGTGCAGGCTGAGACACCCACAATCACACAACACGCTGGGGCTCAGAGAGTGTGCAGGCCGGGACACACCCACAATCACACAACACGCTGGGGCTCAGAGAGTGTGCAGACACACCCACAATCACACAACACGCTGGGGCTCAGAGAGTGTGCAG